GTGCTCTGGCATCCACCGGGAGCTGGGTGTGCACTACTCCCGTATCCAGTCCCTCACCCTGGACGTCCTCAGCACCTCTGAGCTGCTGGTAAGGGGCTCCCTGCACCTGGGGGGGGGCCTTGCATCCGCTGGGTATCATCCTCTGCTTGGGGTCTGGGTGCAGATTTCGACCTTCCCCCTCCCCCTGCTCTGCACCTGCTGCTCACAGCTGCCCTCATTTTGCCCAGCTGTGACTTACAGTCCCCCATGTGGTGCTGCAGGGGTGCAGAGAGCCCTGGGAAGTGATGAGGGAACGTTGGCAGCACCCCCAGGGCCCCCTCCCTCCTCTAACAGACTTCTCCTATGAGAGAGGCTCATCCCTGGGGGCGGCAGATGGGAAGATCCTATATGGACCTGGTGAACTCCCCTCTCTGGGATGAGGAAGGGCAGGGGGGCAGGATTTGGGGACATGGGGAGGTCCCTCCATGCCTTGTGCTCATTCCCTCTGCCCTATCACCCCAGCTGGCTGTCAGCGTTGGGAACACACGCTTTAATGAAATCATGGAGGCCACGCTGCCCACACAGGACTGCCCCAAGCCCTCAGCTGGCAGCGATATGTGAGTCTGGGGGAGCATAGGGTGGGTGGATGGGAAGCTTCCCGCTTTGTCTTCCCCCTCCCCCAAATCCCTATGAGCAAGCTCAAGGATGGGTCACCCTGCTGTCCCCACTGCTCTTTGGATCCTGCACCTTTTGCAGAAGTCTCTCCCTGCTATGACACTATGGGAGGAGGCAGGAAGGTGTGGGGGTCCCACGCTGATGCTGCCCTCCCTGCAGGAGCGCACGCAAGGAGTTCATCGTGGCCAAATACATGGAGAGGCGCTTCGTGCAGCGGGGGGGGGCCAGCGAGCCCCACCGCCTCCGGGATGCCATCCACAACCGTGACCTCCTGGCCCTGCTGCAGGCCTTTGCTGAAGGACACGACCTGGCCAAACCCTTGGCCAGCCCTGAGGGCCAGGTGAGCTGTGTGCATCCCAAACATCTCCCCAAAGCCCAGCTCTGGGGGTTCTGTGGGCTGCGAGCATCCTTGGGTTTGGGGTTCTGCCCACCCTGCGGGCTGTGAGCATCCTTGGGTTTGGGGTTCTGCCCACCCTGTGGGCTGGGAGCATCCTTGGGTTTGGGGTTCTGCCCACCCTGCGGGCTGGGAGCATCTTTGGGGTCAGCCATCCCCTCCCTCCTCGCAGCAGGACACAGGTGAGCTGGCACTGCACATGGCCGTGCGTTGCGCGGACCGGTCGTCCCTCCCGCTGGTGGATTTCATCATCCAGAATGGGTGCGTCCCATCGTGTCCCACTGCCACCCTGCATGGCACTGGAGCATCCCCACGAGGTGCTGAGCTGCTCCTGGCTCTGTGCAGGGGGATGCTGGACCGGGTGACGCAGGATGGGAACACGGCGCTGCATTATGGAGCGCTCTACAACCAACCCAACTGCATCAAGCTGCTGCTGAAGGGCAAAGCTGCCTTTGGGATGGGTATGGGGCTGGGATATGGGGGGTTTGGGGGTTGGGGGGCAGCGGGGTGCTCTCCAGGCTGCAGCCCCCATCCCCTCTGTGTAGTGAACGCAGCGGGTGAGACGGCGCTGGATGTGGCACGGAGGCTGAAGCACAGCGAGTGCGAGGAGCTGGTAGGGAGGGCGTGGGGATGGGGCTGGTGCAGGGGTAGGGGGCACCCTGGACCCCCCCACCTCCCACCCTGTGCTGAGACCCATGCTGTGGTGCAGCTGGAGCAGGCGCAGGCGGGGAAGCTCTCCCTGCAGGTCCACGTGGACTACGACTGGGAACCACCCCAGGAGTACACCTATGACAGCGAGGATGAGCTGGAGGAGAAGGTGGCAGTGATGGGGGGGCAGGGAGGGGAGACCCTGTGGGCACAGCAGTGGGATGGGGTGGGGGGCAGGAAGGGGTGTGGGTGGGATGGGGAGAAGTGGGAGGGTGTGGGGGTACAGAATTGGGATGAAACAGTGCAGGTGGGTTGGGGGGGCTGTAGGGATGCAGAATTGGGATGCAGTGGTGCAGGTGGGCTGGGGGGACTGTAGGGGTGCAGAATTGGGGTGCAGTGATGCGGGTGGGTTGGGGGGACTGGAGGGGTGCAGAATTGGGGTGCAGTGGTGCAGGTGGTTTGGGGGGGTTGTAGGGGTGCAGAATTGGGGTGCAGTGATGCAAGAAGCCCACCAGCCTCTCTGGGTCTGGCTGTAGGTGAGCCCCCTGCAGCGTTCATTCAAGGGCCCCTCATCACTGGCTGCCAGCCCCCCACCCGCCTGCCCCCCACCACCACGCTGGAGCTGCACAGGGATGGACATCACCAACCAGACCTATGAGAGCATCCTGGTGGCTTCACGTCCCGCACCACGCCGGGCTCACAGCGAGGAGCTGCCCCCTCCTCTGCCCCTTAAAAACCCCACACGGGGCGGCCCCCGCTCTAAGCACAGCCCCACGGGTGAGTCTGAACGGGGGGGAACGGAGGAACCCGTGGGATGCTGACGGTGCTCGGTGCCGTGCCGCCGGCCTCGCTGTCCCCATCATGTCCCCATCATGTCCCCGTTGTGTCCCCGTTGTGTCCCCCCACCCCAGAGCGCCCCGAGCTCCCCCGGCAGACGTCAGAGCCGCACTTTGCCGGTTTGACGGAGACCCCCGCGCCGCGCAGCCTCTCCTCTTCCTCCTCCTCATCCTCCTGCAGCGCGGGGGCTCTGGAGGGCACAGCCGTGCCCCCCCCGCCTGCCAGCACCCGCAGCCCCCCCGAAGCGCGACGGGCGGCGTATTGGGAGACGCGTTCGGAGACGGAGAGCGGAGGCTCGCGGAGGGGGACGGAGCTGAGTGGCCCCTCCCCCGGGCAGCCCCCGCCGGGTGTTGTGACCCCCGATGTCACCCCCGTCAAGTTTGGGTATGGGGGGCACGTATGGGGGATGCTGGGTGGGGGTGCAGTCGTTGCATGGGGTTCAGGATCCCACATTGTTGTGTGGAACCCCAAATTGTGCATGGGGGGGCTGGAACAAAGAGGTCACCGTTCCACTGCCAGGGGTTGAGGACGTGGGAGGGGACAGGGGCAGCGTGGGGGTGGGGGGGGTTGTGTCCCTAGAGGTGCTTAAGGGGGGGACACCAATAGGGCCAGGTGGGAAGTTACCAACATTTTATTCTATTCCTTTTTGGGAAGGTCTATTCCTTTGAGGGAGAGTGGGGGCTGCTGGTGGCTGTCAGTGTCCCCCCCCCTCCTACAATAAAAGTCCTTCTCCGTCACCACCTCAAGTGACACTTTACTCCCTTGGGTCCCATCGTGGTGAGGGGCAGACAGGGGATGGGGGGGGAGGGACTGATGCGGTCCCCAATGTCCCCTCAGCTCTGAGAGCACCCGCTCGTACCGGCGCATCAGCAGCGTGGTGGGCAAAGCCACCCCCCCCCCCCAGAGCCCTGAGGACCCCACACCCAGCAAGGTGCCCCCCGTGCCCATGCCACGACGCTTCGCTCCGGTAGGTGTCACAACCTTGTGGGGGAGGGAAGGGGCTCAGAGGGGGTACAATATATGGGGGAGCATCCTTGCTGCTCTCTTTTTGTGGGTGGAGGGACTGGGGGATCACATCTAATGTAGATGTGGGGTGGGGGTGCTGCTGCCCCAACCCCCCCCCTCACCGATCCCATTCCTGGTGCAGGCCAAGGGGAGGCAGAAGCGGGTGAAGGCGGTGGTGGACTGCAAGGGGGACAAGGCACGGGAGCTGACCTTCTCCAAAGGGGAGGTGATCGTGGTGACACGGGAGGAGGATGAGCAGAGCTGGGTGAGCGCTGTGTGCCACTGCCCCCACCCCCCACCCTGCTGGCCTTGCATTCCCTTCCTTCTGGAGCATGCTGCTGGGTGATGCCTCATCTAGGGGGGGTCACCTGGTGACATTATGATGCACAACGTGACCCCCCCACCCACTGACCCCCTTCTCTGCACCCCCAGGTTGGCTTCATTGAAGGTGACGGCTCCCGCACCGGTGTCTTCCCCGCCAGCTTCGTGCACCTCCTGCAGGACTGACTGCATCCCCATCGCCTGCTCCATCCCCACGGGGTTGGTGGCACACGGGGTGGGCTGTGGCCATCCTCAGTCCCCTCTCTGCTGCCATCCTCTCCACCTGGCATCGGGTCCATGACATGGCACCGTGCTGGATGCTGCCCTCCAGGGGGACTTGGGGACCCCTGTGTTGGGAAAATCCCCCCTGGATGGTGGTGTTGGAGAGCCCAAGGGCTGTCATCCCCCCTGTGGCTGTCGGGCAGAAAATGGACACGCTTGCTGCACTGGTGGCATGAGGTTTGTGGGCTCAGCCCATCCCAGGGCTGCAGGGATTTGGGGCTGGGGGCTGCCCTTCACTCTCCTTTCCCTGAGGGGGGGGGAGATGGAATGCAGCCCCCAGTCCCCATCCTGCTGGGATCAGCTGCCGTGTGTCACCTCTACCACAACTGTGAATTGGTTGCAATTGGTAGGAAACAAGATAAGGCTTTTCTCCATCATTTTAGGGATTTGAGGGGGAGGGTGCAGCTACAGCCTGCCCCCACCTCCTCTCCTATCTCTGAGAGCCCTCCAGGGCAGCAGGGCTGGGAAATGCCTTGACACCTCTCCAAAACCCCCAACCATCCTTTAGGTGGGTGCTGGTCACCGCCTGGCCGTGGGGATTTCAAGGTTTGGGGAGAATGAGGGGTGCTCCATGAGGGCCTTCTGCAGCTGCTTTCTGGGACCAACATTCCCCCATCCCTGTGATTTATCCTCACCCACATCGTCGTGCGTCGGACGTTTCATCTCAAAGAAAGAAAACTTTGTGTTTGTTTGTTTGTTTGTTTTTCACGTTCTCTCTCTCTCATTTCTAATAAAACCATCATTTTGTAATAAGTGCCCGGTGTGCAGCCCTCACCCCTCACCCCACCCCATTGGGTGATATCCCTCCATCCTGATGCTGGGGTCCCTATTGGGGTGGCAGCAGGGCGCTGGGGTGCACCAGCAGCACCAATGGCTGGCTGTGTGTCTCCATTGCAGCAGCATCCTTCCCTCCCAGCTCCCTGCTCTACCTTCGCTCAGTGGATGGACTCTGGGCTGTGGAAACACCAACAGCACCTCCGCCCCAGCGCCGTGCTGGGGTATCCCTGCAGCTCAGCCCCAGCCATGGGGACGTCGGTGCCTCAGGACAGCGCTGCCACGGGGTGAAGTCCAGGCTCTCCCCACCATGCAATGTTTGCAGCAAGTTGCATCAAGCCCGCGTGGCTGCGGGCAGCACAGAAGCCACGTCCCAGCACCCTCCCAATGCCAACCCTGTGCTCCAGCACCTCCTGGAGCCCCCTGAACCTCTCGGCCCCAAAGGGCGCAGCGTCCCCATTGCATCGCCTCCCCCAGCACTGCAATCTTTGTCCTGCTCTTGCTCTGGGCTATATTTAGCCCTGCCCCGTGCTATTTCGCTTGCCTGGCAGGAGTTTATAACTGGCCGGGACAGCCACACCTCCTTTCTGCTTTCCTCCCTTGCTTTCCTTCCTTCTCTTTTCCCCTTTTCCTCTCCTTGCTCCGCTCCGTGCCGCTGCCCCATGCCAGCTGTGCCCACCTCGCACCCACACCGCAGCCACCAGCTGCAATTTGCTCCTGCGACCACCAAAGCCTGGAACATTGCAAGCTGCCAGCATGGGGCCTGCTGAGGAGCTGGTCCGGATTGCCAAGAAATTGGATAAGATGGTGGCCAGGAAGAGCACGGTAAGGCAAGGCAGGGCTGCGAGTGCAATGTTTGCACGAGTGTGCAGTCGCTGTGCGTATTGCAACGATTTTTGCACGGGTGTGCAATATTTGCACCTTTGTGCCTGTTTGCATATGGGTGCAAGATTTGCTCGTCTTGCCTATTTGGACACGTGTGCAATCTTTGCAGGCTTGTGCGAGCGTGTTTGGAGGGTGCAGCAAGGCTTGGGATGGGGAAGGGAGGAAAAGCACAGGTTTCCCTAAGGTGGGGCGGGAGGAGGAGGAGGAGGAGGGAGCTTTGCTCTGCCTCCACTGCTGTTGCTGACAGCACAGGGAGTGCTGAGCACCCCGGGGTGCTGCCCAGCCTGGGGCTGTGGATTTGGAGCAGGCATCCGTGGGTGCACCCCATCGCTTGAGGTCATGGGGATGGGGTGTTGTGGGGGGGGTCCTGGGTGAGGGCTGGTGGCTCTGAGCACCCCTTGGTGTGGGAGCAGTGTGGGTGACAGGTGCTTGGAGCCCAGCCACCAGCACCCAGTGTGGGTTAGGGCTGGCACCACAAGCTCAGCAACGTGCAAAGGAAAAACAGGGGGTGGGAGCAGCACCCCCAGCACCCCAAGTGCAGCTGTGCCTTTTGTAACCATGCAAAAGGATGGGGCTCCCCTGCAGCCCAGGGGGTTTGGTGCCATGACCCAGCCCTGCTCCCTGTGCTCCAGGTAAGGACCCATGGTGATCTGGTTCCATGGGGGGGGGGGGAGGAATGGAGGAGAGCCTAGCCCTCAAGGTTAATATTTGACTTCCAACAGGACTTTGCCCTGGCAAGGCACAGGCTGCCCTGTGGGGCTCATGGCAGTGCCATCCCCCCAAACCCTGTGCTTTTGGGGATGCTAAAAGTGCACCAACTCAGACTCCTTAGCAGCCACGTGGGCAGTTTGCTCTTCCCTTTGCAATTACCCTTCTCTGCAGTTTCCCTTGCTGGGAATGACCCCATGGCTCACAGGGTGACCCTGCCCAGCCTCAGGCTGTGGTTTCGGCCCCCCAGCACTCCTGCTTTACCCCAATTTGGGGAGGGAACGGAGCTGGAGGACGGCATGGGGATGTCCCCTGAGCTGGGAGCTCTGAGCAATACAACTCTGCCATACTACCTGCACCCTCCATCTGTTCCTGCAGCTCTAAAAATACCAGCGAGGAAGATGACCCCATGCAGAGCCATGCTGGGATATATATAACCCCACAGGCACTGTGTGCCCGAGGGCCAGGCTGGGAACCTGGTGCCATGTGGCCCTTGGGGACACACTGCTATCCCCAGCCCTTCCCCTGGGTGCAGGTTTGGGTTTGATGGGAGCATCATTGGTGGTGGACACATGGTCCTGACCACTCCAGGGGCCCCTCGGGTGTCTTCACTTTGCTGGTAGATCCTCTATGGGTCTTGTGTTCCTTCCCCTGCCATAGGAAGGGGCTCTGGACCTGCTCAAGTCTCTCACTGGTTACACCATGACCATCCAGCTGCTTCAGGTGAGAGGGGTCGGGGGGATCCTGGAGGGATGGTGGTGCTCATCCCAGCCCCCCCACCTGGGGAAGGTGACCCTATAACGCCCATCCCCAGACCACGCGCATCGGGGTGGCCGTCAACTCGGTGCGGAAGCACTGCTCGGATGAAGAGGTGGTGGCCTCGGCCAAGATCCTCATCAAGAACTGGAAGAGACTGCTGGGTGAGAGGGGCAGAGCCTCCCCCAAAATGCCCGTAGTGGGGTCTTGGTGCCCCCAGCTCCACACCCCACACTGGGGTGAGGTTCGGTGCGTGCCGTGCCTGTGACCCCCACTCCATCCCCAGAGTCCTCTGCCCCCCCAAAGAAGGAGAAGGACACGGATGGGGAGAAGGAGAAGAAGGAGAAAGAGAAGAGGTTGGATGTCCCCAGTCCCAATGAAGGGGTGAACCCCCATCCAGCGAAGCACCCCAAGAACCCAACCGAGAAGCACAGAGAGAAGCACAAGGAGAGGTGTGGGATTCAGTGCACGGTGCAGTGCCATTTCCCTTTCCTTGTGCCAAAGTGGGGGCTGTTCTGGGGCTGCTTGCTGAGCCACCCCACTCTCTCTGTCTGCAGGAAGCCCAGCAAGTCCAGCTCCCACGCAGCCCCCACAAAAGGCCACCCCACTGACCCCAACCCGGAGAGGTACCTACCAACCCCCCCCGACTGCAGGGCACTCCGGGGGGGCTGGGGAGCACTTTGCTGATGGGGCTGGGCAGGACCTGGTGACACGGGGGTGCTGGGAGCTGAGAGCATCTCCCAATTTCCTTTTATGCTTTGCCATGAAGGGAGCCCAGCGCCGGGCGGAGCCCCACTGCACCCTCGAAGAAATCACCTCTGGATGGCAAGAAGGAGAGGTGGGGGCCCTGGGTTGGGCTGGGGGGGGACTCCAGACCCACCACTCGGTCACTATTGCTGTGCACTGACACTGGGCTGCTCCTGCCAGGAGGGACTCTGCCGACTCGCGGTCCTCAGCCACATCCTCCTCTTCCTCCCCGCAGAAGAGACCCTCAGGAGAGAGGTACGGAGGGGGCACCCCCAGCTCTGCATCTCCCAGAGATGGGCTCAGGGATGGGTGCTGTGGTGGTGGTGGCTGCCTGTGCCAACCTCCCCATCCCTGGCGCTGCTGGGGATGCTCTGCCCATGGGGCAGGCTTTGCGTGCCCCACTGCTGGTGTTACAGCTGCCGTCCCCCCCGTGTCACCCCCAGGAGACCCTCAGTGGGTGCCAACCCCTCACCAGCTCCCAACAGCTCCCGGCGCAGCTCCAGCGACAGCAACGGGGACAGGTAGGACCCATCTGTCCCCCCATTAAGAGACTGCCATGCCCCCAAGCTGTGCGGGATCCCAAAACCTCCCCATGTCTCCGCAGAGCCAACAGCAGCAAGGGCAAAGTGGAGACGCCGCGGACCCCCAGCAGCCCCTCCTTCTCACCCAGCATCTGCCTCCTGCCCCCCTGCTACCTGACCGGGGACTCCGTGAGGGACAAATGCATTGAGATGCTGACAGCTGCGCTGCGCATGGATGGTGAGTGGGGTGGGGGGGTGAGGGGTGTTTGGTCCCAAAGGGGAGGAAAAGGAGATGCAGGGGGGTCTTGGGTGAGGGGTCTGGGTGTGGTCATTAGAAGGGGTTAAGTTTTTGGAAGGACGAGTTTGGGGGCAGAGCCCCCAGGAAGTTTCCATTGAGTTTCTATTGACTTTCCCACTGGATGTCCCATTGGGTACCTGTTGGGTGCCCTATTGTGTGTCCCATTGGGTGTCCCATTGGGTGCCTCACTGGGTGCCTCATTGCATTTCTCATTTACATGCCCCATTGGGTGCCTCATTGAGTTTCCCATTGGATTTCCATTGGAGATGCTCCATTGGCTGCTTTGTTGGAGCTCTGTGGGTGCAGGATGAGGCCCTTCTGCTTCCAACCCCATCGCCACCCCTCTCCTCTCCCTACAGATGACTACAAGGAGTTCGGTGTCAACTGTGAGAAGATGGCATCCGAGATAGAAGACCATATCCTTTGTGGTCCCCGGGCTGCTTCTGCTGCGGGGTCCTGGGGTGGGGGACGGGGACAAGGTGGTGGAAACAGGGACAGGAACGGGGACAGGGACGGGGACAGGGGGTGAGGAGCGCAGCCAAGGCCTGCCTGGCCGCGCTGCCTGCAGAGGGAGCCCGGAGCCCGTACTAAAGGCTGATGCTGAGCATCCCCAGCCGGCTCCATCCCGTATGATCCCGCCCCGGTGCTGCGCGTCCTCAGTCCTTCTGCGTGGGGACCTGTCTTTCTCCTTAGGGAATGAAATAAGAGCCCCTTCCCAAGCCCGAGGCATCCTTACTGCTGTGGGTGCCGGGTTCTGGTCCAGCGCAGCGCCTGGGCTGTTCCATTCCACTGGGACAGGACCACCTCCTGATCACCCCCAACTTCATGCTTTGGGGTCTCCCCCTCGGCCACGATCAGCCCCAGAAACCATTCCTCCTCCAGAAATTTGATTTCCTTGACTGGCCCCACATATCTTCCAGGAGTTGAAGAGCACGGACATGAAGTATCGCAACCGGGTGCGGAGCAGGATCAGCAACCTGAAGGACCCCAAGAACCCCAACCTGCGGAGGAACGTGCTGTGCGGGGCCATCGCGCCTGCCCTCATTGCCCGTATGACCGCCGAGGTGCACAGAGCTGTAGGGTTGAGGATGGGGTGCTCGATTCCCTGGGTGGGTTTGAGTCCTTTAGCAAGCACAGAGAACGGGATGGGGTTGGATATTAGGAAAAAACCCAATGGCAGTGCACTGGAATAGGATGCTCAGGGAGGCGGTCACTCTGGAGGTGTTCAAGAACTGTGGAGATGATGTGGAAGTTGGGGGTATGGTTAGTGGGCACGGTGGTGGGCTTGGGTTGGGTTGGACTTGGTCATCTTGGAGGTCTTTTCCAACCTGAATGCTTCTACGAGTGGCCACGGTGGGGATGGACTGACGGTTGGACTTGATGACCTTAGAGCTCTTCTCCAACGGTGGTGGCCCTCTGGTCACCCCAAATCCTGCAGAGATAGGAAGATGAAGTCCTACAGGGGTTGGCGCTCACGGATGGTGACCAAACGGGTGCTGACTGGTCCCCTTATGGCAGGAGATGGCCAGCGATGAGCTGAAGGAGCTGCGCAATGCCATGACCCAGGAGGCCATCCGTGAGCACCAGATGGCCAAAACGGGCGGCACCGTCACCGACCTCTTCCAGTGCGGCAAGTGCAAGAAGAAGAACTGCACCTACAACCAGGTGAGCCCCGGAGCTCCGCGCACCCAGGGAAACCCCAACCCATAATTTAGGGGAATCATCAATGCCTGCTGACACGGCTGCCCGCTCCCTCTCCCAGGTGCAGACACGCAGTGCTGATGAGCCCATGACGACCTTCGTGCTGTGCAATGAATGTGGGAACCGCTGGAAGGTGCGTAGTGGGTGGGGAGGAGGGCTCAGCATCCCCCCAAAACTTCCCCTGCCTCATTTTAGGATGCTGGTCCCCCTCGCTGCCCCCATATCCCATTGTGGGCACTGATGTGGCGCAGCCACCGTGTGCTCATAGTTGCTCCAGGACCCCAAAGTGGGGGTGGCAGGGCCCCCCCAGCACCTTCCAGCAATGGGACTGGCTGCCCCCCAACCCTGGGCTCTGCTTCCCTTGCAGTTCTGCTGATGACACCCAGTGGGGCTGAAGGGGACGCGGCATGGATGGGACGTGGTGACAGAACACTGGGGTGGGAATGAGAAGCGATGGGGTGGCCTCAGCCCCTCCTGCTCCCCATCCCATTGCACTGCGTTCCCTAGAGCCTCCCACTGGTTTGCTTGGGAAGAACCCAGTGAATTTGAGCCTTTTGTACTGGGAACCTGGATTGGTGCGGTTTGGTTTGGGGACAGGAGGAATGCTGCCCCATGGATGTAGGGCTGGGAAAGGGCCCCAAGCCCTTCCTTCCCCTTGTCCTATGGAGTGCAATGGGAGGACATGGAGGTTGGTGGCAGCGGTGTCTGGATGCTGGTGCCGTGCAGCTGCATCCCTCTGCTCCGTGCCATATGGACTGTCTGCCCTGCACCTTGGGAAAGAAGAAAGGATGGGAAGAGAGGAGTGGAAAGAAAGACTCCAGCTACGGCAATAAAAGCATGAGCTGTCTCTAGCACTGAGTGCTTTCTGAAGGGAAAATCGGTGCCCGTGCCTCAGTTTCCCCCAGGTTGCTCCCCTGCCATGGGGAGGAGCTGATGTGGGATTTAGCTCTGCATTGGGTTTGCGCAGCCAGGGGTGGGGGACTCCATGGGCAGAGTGTTTGGGGGAGAGAAAGCACATCCCTAAAGGCTCAAGGATGTTTATTCCCAGATTTGGATGCTCTTACCCCATTCTCCTACACCCTGGTGGTTCTGAGAGGGGCCACGAACCTTCACACCCCTGGGAAAACACCTTGGGCTTTGGTACTTGTTAGCATCCCAAGGTCATTAGCGAGCCAAGAAGGCAATTAGTTCCACTTGTGAAATGTGGCTGCAATTAAGGAATACGGTGGATGATAAAACGTCGGTGCAGCTAACAGCACTGCAGAAAGGCCCAATCAATAGCAGAGAAAGCACAGCCCCACATCGTTGTGCCGTGGGTAGCAAAGCCTCAGCACCCACCTGTGTCTGTCTGTCCCAAAGCAATGTGTGCGTATGTCCTGCCAGCACCAGGAGGTTGGGAACAGGTGATGGATTTATTGCTCTGCTCAGAATTCTTGTGCAGGGCTGTAAATAGCCACGGGCAGCTGCTGTGGGAGCTGATGGGTGCAGGGGTGTCGTTGGGCAGGGGGCAGTGAGGGTCCCTCTGGCCATGTGCAGGGGTTGACATGGGCTATGGGCAGCTCTAGGGGGTGGTCCCAGGGTTGAGCCTCCAACCCATCCCATGGGAGGCTGTGCACACCTGTGTGTGCTGGAAAACCCAGTGCCCAACTGTGGGTCTCCAAAGCAATGGCATTTGGGATCTGATGTTTGGGGTCTGTGTCACCCCCTGAGGCCATGCAGGTGACATTCCCAGGGCTGTGCCCACGCAGCTGGCAGCCCCCTGACCTACTCAGCATCCCCCAGCCTACTCAGGAGGAGACTAAAATGTGTTGATTCCCCCCTCAGGGCTGCACCTGCAGCATCTCACTGCTATGTACATCGAGGCCCTGTGGTTCCCAAAAAGAACCTCTACAGCATCTCTCCCTCCCCCCTCCCTCCTTCCACCCATTCCTCTTTCCATCCCTCCCTTGACCCATCCCTCCATTCCTCCATCCCTCCACCCTACCCTCCACATCACCCTCCATCCCTTCTACCATCCATCTCCCCATCCATCCATCCCTCTATTCATCTCTCCATCCCTCTACCCATCCCTCCACTCATCCACCCACCCATCATCCGTCTGTCCATCCATCCATCCATCCTTCTATCCATCCATCCATCCATCCATCCATCCATCCTTCTATCCATCCATCCATCCTTCTATCCATCCACCCATGCATCCCTCCATCCACCCACCCATCATCCGTCCGTCCGTCCATCCATCCATCCATCCATCCCAGCAGTGATGCTGCCCTTCTCTCCCACTCCTCCATCCTTTCCCCC